TGTTGGGACCGTTGCCTATTGATACGAGAGTTTAGTTGTATGAGGATACCTCTCATGTAAGCCTTGTAAGCGGGCCATATTTTGGTGATAGAAATGTCGGGAGTAGAATTAGTGTAAAAAAAAAAATTGTGGGCTTCTAACAGATGTTTCTGGTTTTCTGGGTTCTTCAGGATTGTAGATTTTAGTCTTCAGATGGGTGGGATTGCTGAGCGTTGATTGTCGTCTAAGGATATGTTGATTGGAGCATGGTCTGACCAGGTTATGGTTCTGATTTTGGACGTTATCACGTGTTGTAATGTCCAGTTGTCTGTGATGAAAAAAATCAATTCTGGAGTAGGAGAGGTGGGAAGGGGAGTAGTAGGTGTAGTCTCTCTCATTGCCGTGGTGACATCTCTAGATGTCGTAAAAATCGTGGTTGTGCAGAAAGTAGTTGAAATTTAGTTTAGGGGATCTTTTGTTGGAGGACGAATCTAAGAGAGGGTTGCCAATAACGTTGAAGTCTCCGCCAATGATGAGTCTGCCTTGTTTATGAGTCGAGATGATAGTGTATAGCTTGTGGTAAAATTGCATCTGATTGTTGTTAGGACCATAAATATTTACTAGAGTGTAGATAATGTCATTGATTTGGCAAACTAGGATATGGTAGCGACCGTGCGGGTCGGCGATTTCTGAAATGTTTCGGAATTGAACAGAGTCTCTTATAGCTGTATAATGACATCATTCTTTTTCTTGAGATTAGTAGTCATATAGATATGTGAGAATCGATGGAGTTGTAGCCTGGGGGTCTTGTTTGTAGGGAAATGGGTTTCCTGTAAGAAGAGTATGTCGGCCTGGAACATTCGGGTTTCTTTTTGAAGCATCGATCTTTTGAAGGGAGAATTTAAGCCACGTACATTTAAGAGATGTAATATTAATCATTATGTAAATCTCTTGTTTGGTGAACAAAATAGTTGAGTTGTTGTTTGAGAAAATCGCGATTGGATGAATGCAGCTATGAGAAGGAGGATGTTGTCAACGTTATGATACAGACTAGGTTCGAAAGAGGAGTTAGGGTGAGTATTCCAGAAAAGTTTGTTGATGGTGAATACTGAAGTGTAGATGATTGACCGGTGGTGCCAAGGGAGGAAAGGAAAGAGGAGGTAGAAAAAGATAAAAAAAACTTATACAGCGTATAATGCAAGTGACCTGAGTAGCTCGACTTGCTACTTCAGAAATGGGGAGTTTGAACAGGCTTTGACCGTGAAAAAGGTCATGCCAAACATTTTCTTGTAACATGCACATTGTCGGAACATGGCTGATCACCAGAAAATAGTAGATCGGGATATAACATCCGAGATGAAGTATATGTGCTGCATAAAAAGTGTGCTGTGTTGCTGTTTATTCTGCTTCCATATGTTGGACATTGGTAGGTGTAGATTGCTGTGTGTCCGTGGGTAGTATGTTCCAAGCTTTAAGTAGGTCTAGGGCCGCTTCAAGGGTTTTGATTGTGAAGATTCTGCCTTGTTGCTTCACGGTTAGCTTCGTGGGAAAACCCCATTGATAGCCTATGCCGTGGTTTCTTAGGGCTTTGGTGATAGTAATCATTTTTTTCCTGTTAAGGAGCGTGGCCCTTGACAGGTCTGCAAATAGTCGGATATTCGCATGTGACGATGGGAGCGGAGGTGGGTTTCTGGCTGCCGACATAAATTTTTTTCATGAATTGTTTTCATGAAAGGGGTGTACCTGGTCAGCAACTATGTTTGGGTATGTGGTACTAGGGATGCACCAAAATTTTGATGGCCGAAACATTTCAGCTGAAAACACCCCTATCGGCACTGATACAGGTAAGGAAAAACCCCGCCCCTCGCCGCCACCAGCTGCTGCTCGGTGGTTCTCAGCCTTACCAAAGAAACCATCAAACAATCCCGGCGCTGGACACAGAGATAAGTGAAGGAAAGATAGCCTCCACTCATCACTATGCCCTTGGAGGACCGAAGTAATGTCATTTCCGGTTCCGGCTATAAACAAGGCCTTTTTTTTTTAAAGCACTAAATCAATGCTTTTTTGATCTAATGCTTTACAATGTAGAGGAGAGATGTGGGGTCTTATTGACCCCCATATTTGTCCATAAAGGAGGACCTGTCACTACTTATTTCTATCACAAGGGATGCATGCATTCCTTGTGATAGGAATAAAAGTGATTAAAAAAAGTTTTTGTAAAGAGACAGTGTAAAAAAAAAAAGTTTAAAGTGCCTCCATCCCCCCGTGCTCGCGCGTAGTTGTGAACGCATACATAGGCCATGTCAACATATGTAAACAGTGTTTAAACCACACATGTGAAGTATCACCACAAACATCAGAGAAGAGCAATAATTCTAGCACTAGACCTCTTCTGTAACTTTAAACTGGTAACCTGTAGACATTTTTAAATAGTCAGCCATGGTGATTTTAACCACTTCAATACCGGGCACATTTACCCCTTCCTGCCCAGACCAATTTTCAGGTTTCAGCTCTCTCACACTTTGAATGAAAATTGCACGATCATGCAACACTGTACCCAAACAAAATTTTTATCATTTTGTTCACACAACTAGAGCTTTCTTTTACTGGTATTTAATCACCACTGGGGTTTTTATTGTTTGCTAAATTAACAAAATAAAATTTTAATTTCGGTGCACCATTTTTGAAAAAAAAAAAAAACACATTTTTCTTTGTTTCTGTTATAAAAGTTTGCAAATAAATAATTGTTCTTCATAAATTTAGGCCAAGATGTATTCTGCTACATGTCTTTGGTGAAAATAACCCAAATCAGTATTTATTATTTAGTCTGTAGGAAAGTTATAGAGTTCACAAACTATGGGATATATCTGAAAATTGATCAGTCCTGAAGTACAGACAGCCAATCTAATCTCTAGAGGCCAAAAAATGTCAGAACAGTACAGATATCCCCCAAATGATCCCTTTTTGCAAATCAGACAGTCCAACGTATTTCATAACAGGCATGACAAGTTTTTTGAAGTTTTAATTTTTTAATCATAATTTTTTTGAAAATAAAGAAATTTAAAAAAATTATTTTCACAATTTTGTTTTTTACATACTGTCACCAGTGCAGTACAGCATCCTCATATAACTGATGTGGCAGTGTTCAGGGACACTGACTTTTGACAGGATGAAAAAAAAATAAAATTGATAATTTTTTTAATTTTTTTAGTATTTTATATAAAAAAATGTTTCTCTTTTTTAAGATTTTTTTTTCATATTACACTATGACCAAAGTAGTATAATGTTACCATAGTAACATTGTACTACTTGTGGGGGGAAGTGATCAGTATTTTTTTATTATACAATTTGATTGCTTATAGCAAAGAATTAGCTGTGATTGACAACGGCTAATCACATGACACAGATGGACTGTGATTGGCCCAGCCTGTGCATGTGATCACTGTGACCATTCAGAGCTAGACACACTTGTATACAATGGATGGCATGAAAGGAAGCCATCCATTGTTTACAACTGTCCTGTGATCTGCTGTGATTGGTCTCAGCAGGTCACATGGTACTGGCAACGGGGCCGATACACAGATCTGTCATCAGCTACAGCCGGTGACCGATCTTGCCACAGTGCGGCCCAAGGCGCGATCCAGGAAGCACGTCATATGACACCCTCCCGGATCGACAAGAGGTTCACCCAGCCGTCATTTTACTACAGGCCGGGCGAAAAGTGGTTAAGTACCGTAGTTTGATGCCATTCCACGAGCATGCGCAATTTTTAAAGCATGTCATGTTGGGTATCTATTTACTCAACATAACATTATATTTCATATTTTACAAAAGAATTGGGGATATATTGTGGTTTGTTTTTCTTGTAATCATTAATAAAGTGTATTTTTTTCCCAAAAAATTGTGTTTGAAAAATATATTCATTTTTAAAAACTGTCCAATTCGGTTTTCCTCCAAGTGCATCCTGAATTTTTGGTTATGGTTTTGGCACCAGAATTTTAATTTCGGTGCACCACTAAGTGGTACGTGTCAAAGTAAAATTCACATAAATGACAGGACCCAAGGTATCCCAGCAGAACATCGCCCAAAGCATCACACTGCCTTAGCCAGCTTGCCTTGTTCTCATACTGACTTTTCTGCGGATACACAGCCCCATGCACAGCACACTGCGATGCCCAATTTTTTCTGCTTTCAACACATCAACTGCAAGGAAAACATGTTTACTTGCTGACTAAAATATTTAACTGACTTTCAGGAGCCATTTTAACAAAATAATAAATGTTATTCACTTAACCTGTCAGTGGTCATAAAGTTATTGCTGATCAGTGTACATTTATGATTAGTCAAACAATTGTGTATAAAGCAGAAGTTGCCCTTTAAAAGGGCACAACAGACTGGTGATAACAGGTATGATAATACAAGCTGGCAAAGTGACCCTTACAACAATGTATAATAATCCATAATTCATGCCACAACTGCAATGTACAGTATATTGTGCTGCAGCTTTCCATGTACATATATGAATATATAAACTGACAAAATGCCATGCACTGCAATAATGAGACTACCCTTCAGATACATTGCAATGGATTACGGAAGTGTAAACAAACCCTACCTATGATCCTTGCCTCAGGGCTTTTTCACATTTCTGCACATGGCAGTAATGCATTTCAAGTTATAGCACAGGGTAGTATTGCAGTGCACAAAACAGCAACTGCTTTAGTTTGACTAATGAAAGCAAAGGAAGACATCCTTTTACACTGTGCACAGTTCACTTTAAACTGCTGACCAACAAACCCTTGGAGAAAGAGATGAACATTGGTCCATATACATTTATTTATAGTTCCCAAATTAATTCTAATTTAATTTTCCTACAGTAAAAATTACAAATATTAATTAAAATATATAGGTACCTTAAACCAATGGAACTGTGCAGTCGCAGTATTGACATAGTCAGTTACATATGGACATTCAATTTTCAATGATGTTTCCAAGAATGGTAGATAATTGTACAATGCTTCATCTTTATAACACAAGCCATCATCATTCTGAAACACGTCCACTTCTAAAACCTCCTGCCAACATCCATTTGAATCTCTGTATGTAAGAAAAGAAAATGTTACTATAAGAAATCAACGTATTACCTGGTTGAGGTTACATGTTCCCAATGGAAATCAAGTCAGATAAAATAGGATTGTTTTGTTATGTAGGTTATAGATGTGTATACTGTATGTATGGTGTATATTGTTTGAATCTCTTGAATTATTCATATTCCGTTTGGTAGTTTATTTAATAAAATACATAAACAGAAAACAGCTTTAGCACCTATGCAATATTTGATAATGCATAGAGTATAATTCATTATTCACAAGAGATAATCTGGCTCTACTCTCTCTATTCTCAGTTTCTGCAGTATAAACAGTCCAGTGGATGTACAGTACATATAAACTCAAAAGTAATTCTGAAGAGAATAATAAGTCCCCATATTTGGGTACTAACCATGTAAATGTGGCATTGATGCAGCATTTTTAATAAGGTGTCACGTTAGTTTCTGAGTATCTAAATGCCCACAATGCATGCTTGGCATAAAATGTATCTAAACCCAACAGATAAAAAATTAAACATATTGCAGTACTTGGAGACAGGCTTATGTCACCAAATAAACCACTGATCTCTGATCCACTGATCTCTGATCCACTGATCTCTGGTGCAATGCTTTGCAAATTCTTTAGGGTAAAAATAATTAATGCCAATTTTTTTTCTGCAAAAATATGCATTTATTATTTTTCCCCGAATGGTGAACTTAGAGTTTAAATGTAATGTAATTTGTGCTATTTTATATACAGTATGTTGTTTTTTGTCATTTTTTAACCTAAACGTAGGCAAAGGCAAAAAAAAAAAAACGAAAAGAATTTAGGTTTTTCAGCAGAACAGCATGTCACACCAATAATATATCCCAGTGGGAAGGGACGCCTTGCTGCCCCTGTGAATGCTTGGCAATCATTTGATGAGCTTCGTTACTTTTGAGAAAGGATGTACCTCTCTATAGGCACCCAAATACCAGGGTCTTGTCAGTTTCTCTTACCTGTACACACATAAATAAAAGCCTGCATCTTCCAGCCTCGCAGGTAAAAATTTCAGGTAGTTGCTATCTTGATGAATTCTTGCCTGTAGGTCTCTGGAAATTTCTGTCTTTGAGCCATTTATAAACCAAGTTATGTTGTAACTGTTGTCGGCCTCTGGTGGTTCAAGTGGACATTTGACAAAAATTGGTTCTCCATTATGGACATGAGTTACATCAGGCTTTCCATTATCATTATAACTATCTGCAAGTAAAAGCATGTGATATATAAGTAAAACACTCCATAAATTTGTGTATACATTTATTATGAGACATAAAAATTAGGTTTTAACTACAGAAGTTATACATCCTATAATAAAAATGGCTAAGTCCTAGAAAATGTATTTCTGCCTGAGTTGGAAACATCAAAAATATCATTCGGGTTTCTCTAGTTCCCTGGTCTCCTCCTCCCATGCCCGCCTCCAGGACTTCTCCAGGGCGTCACCTATACTCTGGAACTCCTTACCCCAATCCATCAGACTATCACCTACTCACCCACCTCTTCAGGGAAGCCTACCCCACCCCCTGCTAATTCCTGACCTCCTCCACTCTTCCTACCACTCCATCCCCCACAGCTATTTCCTCCTGTACCACTATCCCTTCCCTAATAGATTGTAAGTTCCAAGAAGCAGGGCCCTCGAACCCTCGTGTATCGCATTGTATTGTTATTGTACTGTCGCATGTTCTGTCTCCCATTGTAATGTACAGCGCTAAGCGAACTGTTGACGTTTTATAAATACTGTATAATAATAATGCAGAGAGGAACTGTTTTCCTGCGTGTGGCATGCATTTAAAAAGCATTTCCAACACAGGTTAGCACATTTGCATTGACGTCAAATGAGTAGTGTACATGACACTTTAGAGCAGCGGTCACTAAATGGCAGACCGCTGTTTGCTTCTGGACTGCCAGCCCGCAATGACAGATCCGCTGCTGAGCAGGGCGGTCATCACTGCAACATGACATCACGTGTGCGCCCTGCCCCTTGCAGCTCATTGTCTCTCCCGCTCCCTGCCTGTACACATCCTTCAGCAAGAACCCCGCCACAGCTCCTGTCTGGCTCAAGGTAGGGCGTAGCCTTTCAGGGGCACTCTGATGGGCACAATTAATGTTAAAGGGTCATGCTGATGGGCACATTTAATGTTAAGGTGCACTCTGATGGGCACATCAGAGTGCCCATTAACATAAAAGGTACCCATCAGAGTGCCCCTTAATAAAAATGTGCTCATCAGAGTGCCCTTTGATATAAATGTGCCTATCAGAGTGCCCCTTAACATAAAATGTGCCCATCAGTATGCCCCTTATTTTATTTTAATGGGCACTCTGACAGGCACATTTTATGTTAAGGGGAACTCTGATGGGCCCATTTTATGGTAAGGGGCACTCTGATGGGCCCATTTTATGTTAAGGGGCACTCTGATGGGCCCATTTTATGTTACGGGGCACTCTGATGGGCCCATTTTATGTTAAGGGAAACTCTCTGAATGGACACCCATTTTATGTTATGTTAAGGGGCACTTTGATGGGCCCATTTTATGTTAAGGGGCACTCTGAAGGGCATCTTTTATGTTAAGGGGCACTCTGATGTGCACATGTTATGTTAAGGGGGCAAAAATGGGCACATACTGTGGAAAGGGGCAGTCTGATGGGGAATATGATGTAAAGGGACATTCTGATGGGGAAATATGATGGAAAAGGCTACTTTGAGTGTAAGGGGGCACTCTGATGGGAATACCTGATGTAAGGTGGCAATGTGATGGGTATACCTGATGTAAAGGGGCATTCTGATGGGGATAACTGATGTAAAGGGAGCACTGTGATGGGCACACCTGATTTGATGGGAACACATGATGTAAAGCTGCACTCTGATGGTGACACCTAATGTAAGGGGGCACACTGATGGGCTCACCCTATTCGGACCTCGGCCAGAAGAAAATTTTAGTGACCAGGCCTCCTTGAATTTTAATTCAATACCCCTGGTTTAAAGCCTGAGTTTGACCTGATTTGCAACATATTTAGCGGGACTGTTCCAAAAGTCAGCAATTTTGCAACCACATCTATTGTTCCATTGCAACAGTAATGAGGCAACCTATTAGTAAGGACACACTAGAAGTACTCCTGAAAAAAACTATATTGCACCACTTTTGAATCTCATTTACGTACTCACATCTGCACAGCAGAGAAAAAAACTATTACCAACGCTTGGAAATAAACAATTATACCACTTTGTAAACTGTACTCTCAACCCACGTATGTATCACAAGATGTTGTGGTAATTTTAAAGTACAACTAAAGGCAAAACTTTTTTTTAAGTTTTGGACAGAGTAGAGGTGGATTAGCACACCTGGCAGTTTTTATTGCAGTATGTGCTCCCGTTAGACTGATTCACCCCATTTGTTCTGCTTAATATTATCATTGAAAGTGAAAGTAAAAAAAAAAAAAAAAAATCACAAATTTTGGGTTGTTCCCAGAAAAATAATAAAGGTGAAACAGTCCAATAGAGACACTAGTTCTGGTGACCTGGGGGTCCCCAAGGGATTCCCTTAATTTGCATGATTTCCTCTCACTTCCTGTTTGGCTATGGGACAGGAAGTGAAGGGAAATTATCTCAATGTGACACAGATGGCAAAAAAAAAAAAAACTGACAGAGGTTATTACCCTCTTTTACTCTATCCAAAATGAAAAAAAAAAAAGAGTTTTGCCTATACTTCTACTTTAAACAATAGATTTCCCTAATTCCAAAGACTATGGAATTCCTTAACGACACAAATTTCAATTCATGCATTTCAATGCATGGTCTTTCAGTAGGGATAACAACTTTTGCACTTAAAGGTTTATTAAGGGGTTTATTTATATAACATTTGTTGAATGAAGGTCAGAAGGATTTGTGCAAGTTGAACGAAATGTCCCGTAGTGGCCGAAATGCAGTATAGGTTTCTCATTAAACTGTTATTAAAGCTTCATTTTTTTAATAAAATAAAACACATGTCATACTTACCTTCTGTGTTTTGCACAGAGCAGCCCAGTTCCTCCTCTTCTGGGGTCCCCTGCCAACTCGCCTGGCTCTTCCTCTTCGTAGAGTGCCCCATAGAAAGTGGGTTTCTATGGGGGCACTAGTGCAGTGTCGATCCCCAGTCACTCTGAAGGATTTGTGCAAGTTGAACGAAATGTCCCGAAGTGGCCTAAATGCAGTATAGGTTTCTCATTAAACTGTTATTAAAGCTTCATTTTTTTAATAAAATAAAACACACCTGGCTCTTCCTCTTCGTAGAGTGCCCCCATAGAAAGTGGGTTTCTATGGGGGCACTTGTGCAGTCTCGATCCCCAGTCACTCTGTCTGCATCTATTGACACAGACAGGGCAGCTCAGCCCCGCCCCCATTCCCTTGTCACATAATTTGACTGACAGCAGCAGGAGCCAATGCTCCCGCTGCTATCAATCTGCCCTGTGAGGAGAGAATGGAGAGAGCAGAGAGAGCCGCTGCTGTCGGACACAGCACTGGATCGAGAATGGCCTCAGGTAAGTATAAGGGGGGTGAGGAGGGGATTCTGTGACACGGGAGGTTTTTTAGAATAAAATATATGCATTAAGCTAAAAATCTTTAGACTTTAGAACCACTTTAAGGTATTTCAGAAACTTATACTGCATTCTGGCCACCAGATGGAATTACCGATAAAGGCAATAATCTCTCAGGAAATCCAGTATTATATTATTATTATTATTTATATCCTAACAGTTTGTGCAGCGCTTTACAAAATTAATAAGGGACATTGTGTTGAACTTCAAGAAATAATTATGATGTTCATGCAACAGATGTTGTGTTAACACAAGTTGCAACATATTCTCATATTTACAAATGTTATCCCATGCAACCCCAATATGTTCTGTCCTATGCAACTGAAACATTTCCTTTATGTTCACTGTTCAATGCACCCTCAACAACCAAGCACCCCTATATTCTGTATTTAACCTTTTTTATAGTAATTCCTAGTTCAGATAAGTGTAGACTACACTAATAGATAAAGAATCTTCCAAGCAAATATTTCAGGTAAACCAGTAACTTAACCCATTCCAATTTAAACAAAAAGTACAATGATAATACTGTGCAGAAAGTACTGTTAATTTGGTTCCCAAAATCAAATACGTATACACCAGAAAAGAAAATGTTAGGAGTTCATTGCCTTTGACACCATGACACCATGCAATATAATTCAATCTTATATAGATTATTATTGTGGAACTAAAAGGTATTAATACTCACCTGTCCAACCTTTCCAGCACTGGCATCTTCTTCTGTGTGCCAATCTTCAGGCCTCTTCATTGGTCAGCGCAGGATGACGTCACTCCTGCACATGCACAGGAGCCAGTCATCCTGGCATTCAGAGACCAGCACAGTGCTGTAAACTGAGCTACACATGCACAGAATGCATGAAGGTAAAAAACCTTCAGCCTTTACAACCACTTTAATCCCAAAAGGCAAAATAACTATTTGCTATAACTGAATATAAAGTGTGAGCTGGAGTTTGGCTTCAAGTTGTTAGTGCATTTAAATCTACTGGTACACTTAATACTCCCCTCCCCCCAGGCTGGAAATGCTGCTGCCTGCTGTACCTCCTGTGTTCCTTCATCCAGAGTAGTGTCTCATACATACAGAAGGTGTGTTGCTGTCCATACCACCAGGTGCAAACAGAGGGGGGGAAAAACAAAGAAAGGAAAACTGATGCACCCACCACATCTAATGATTGGTAGTCTGCTATATATTACATTTTTGGGTTTTGGTTTAATACTGTTGTAATGATGCCTTTGCAGGTACAGTACAGCAAATATAAAGAACAACCTCAACAATCTCAGCAGCATACAGCAATGCTGCAAAAACAACCATGAAATCTAGTTCAGTTTAAAACATAGAACATCAGCACATTATAGTACATAACACATTTTAATAATGCACTTTATAATTAATTTCATAACCCTCAGTGGGCATTCTGGGGTAGATTTACTAAAGCTGGTTCACTCAGAATCTGGTGTACCTGTGCATGGTAGCCAATCAGCTTCTAACCTCAGCTTGTTCAGTTCAACTTTAACAATAAAACCTGGAGGCTGATTGATTTCCATGCAGAAGTGCAGGAGATTCCGAGTGAACCAGCTTTAGTAAATAAACCCCACTATGTTACAAATATCTTTCTTGATTATCCCAGACATATTCTTTTACTAAATTGAACTATATTCTGGACTATTTTACAAATAAATAACAGCTTAGTAGAAGGGAAAAAAATTTAGCTGTAACTGGAAATGTCCAGCACATCAAGAATGTAGACTTGTGGTCAACAGCCCAGAAGTAAACACAAAAGAATGATCTGCCTGGTCAAAATGAATGTGGCCATTCTGATAGGAAAACTGTTGGAAATGTGTGTTGTCTGCATGAATCACCAATAAAACTACAAGTTTTCAACAAAGAAACAATTACTAACAGTTTAATCACCATAAAAGGGCTACCAGATGCATAAACTGTTAATTTTATATATATATTTTAACTTTATCAGTTTTAGTTACAGATTGCATACACATTTTCTTTGCAGTATTCTCCTATAGAAGTAGTTACATTTACTGGCACCTTCGTATCACAGGATTTAAATAAAGCCAGTCACAAGAGGACTTATACAGGCATCTGAATATTCAGATTTTAATTATTAAAACTCTCCAGGCTTATTCTGATCGATATACAATGTGTATATCCCCCCTATTTATGTCACTTACTTTGTCTGAGACTGACACTTTGACTAGGGAGTCAGGGGTCTTCTGCAGGAACCTCAAACACTGTAAACTCATAAATGATGGACAAATAAGCAACTGGCCAGGAGAGTTTGTAGAACAGCATGGATCTGGTAGTAGCATGGCCATAAGTATGAGAATTAAGCTGCCCATACACTTTTATTAACAGATTCTTTTATCCACGTGGATTAATCCCACTGCTGGGCTATTGTATTCTGACAGTCACCAGCAGCTGTCAGGATACCCAAGCAACAGTTGCTTGTGATTGGGTTTTTCAATTGAAACATGTCGGGTGGGAGGGGGACACCGGGACACCTACAAGGTGAATTTCACCCACTTCATCCAGAACTGTCCAAAATTTGAACAACATATAGCCAGCTTTAGGGGGGGATGAATAGGGGAAGGGGGTACATTCAAGGAAACTGAAGAAAAAAAGTACTATAAAGTTTCCAGATTTCCTATTATTAACATTGAAAATAAAGGCAATTTTTATGTAACATGCCTATATACTTAATAATTACTTAAAATACTCTAAAAGGCCTATACACAAAAATGCTGAAACGTAGCATATTTGCAGTCTGCTACTCACGTGTAGTTTATACTAAAATAACTCCTTAGTATATAAATAAGTGCAGGGCTCTCTCTACCTATACTAAATTGCAATCAAATCTCTGTAAATCAATATGTGCCATCAAAGAGAATAAAATATGTGTCATCCAACAAATATAAATGAAACTTTACCAACGAAATTCATTAGTAAAAAAAAAACCTTTCAGTGAATATGTGAAACTTCCAAAAAATAGTATGTAAATTCAGAGTAATAAGGGAACAAATCACTATAAATCTTGTAATAAGGTATACAGTGAAAACATAACAAAGTCCCAAAAAAGTCCAGCCAGTGTGAATAGTAAATAAAAATCAAATTGTCCCATGGATATACAGTAAAACACTCCTATTGGTGCCCCCTCCAGATCCACCTTGTGTTCTTGGTAGTGCTCTCACCTGATAAGATGGACCTCCATATGATAATAGGTCAATCAAGCATACACAGGGTATTTTTTTACTAAAGCTGGTTCACTCGGAATCTGGTGCACCTATGCATGGTGGCCAATCAGCTTCTACCTTCAGCTTGTTCAGTTAAGCTTTAGTAATATAACCTGGAAGCTGATTGGTTTCTATGCAGAAGTGCATGAGATTCTAAGTGAAACAGCTTTAGTAAATAAAACCCACAGTCTCTTAGCAGCCACTTCACTCTCCTTTTATTCAGTCTTATGAATGGGAACACCATCACTGCTCCACTCATGCAAAAAGAATTATATAAACCAAGGGTCTCCAAACTTTCTAAACGGGGCCAGTTTACTGTCCCTCAGACTTTAGGGGGGCCAGACTGTAGCCATTAAGAGGAGATAAGGTCCCAAAGTCAGTGGAGAAAAACAATGCCCCATCCTTGGTGTCAGTGGGAGGAAGTGTGCCCTTTTCTTTGTGTTTGTGGGAGGAGTTGTGCCCCATCCTAGGTTCGTTGGTGTTAGTTGGAGGAATTGTGCCCCATTGTTGGTGTCATTGGGAGTAATTGTGCCTCATCATTAGTGTCATTGATTCCAATTGTTTGTGCCTCAAAACTTTCTAATTAGGAGGAGATAAGGTCCCAATGTCAATGGGGAAAAACAATGCCCCATCCTTGGTGTCAGTGGGAGGAATTGTGCCTCTATGTTGGTGTAGGTGGGAAGAGTTGTGACCCATCGTTGGTGTCAGTGGGAGGAATCCTGCCCCATCATTGGTGTCATTGGACTCAGATGTTAGTGACATTTTTTTTCTATGTTTAACCATTTTCACTGCGCTCTCAATGGACGACGTGCTGTCTGTGATGATCACGGAGTCAGACCCCAGCCCTTCTCACCAAACTCTGACCAAAGGACTAGCCAATCTAAAACCATGCTATCACGCGCGCAACAATGCCACACCCAGCTGCACCCTGCACAAAGATTTTCCAGCTAATGGACCACAATCTGTGTGCCTGCAGCCTGAGAGCGATTGTTACTGGGTCAGGTTAATTACGCAATTAACCCTTCACACTGCCACCACCTTCTTTTTGTACAGAGAAAGAGGAAACTCGGCAATATCAGCAATAACACTATGATGTTTGAATAATCATTTGTATACACAATGTCACCGCAGACAGATGTATGCAGACGTTTTAAAACACACAGTAGCGCTCTTCAGAGGCAGGGATTCTTAGTTTGCATTAAGAGCTTTAGAAACAGTTCAACACTTTCAGAAAGTAAGATTTATTACTGAAAGGTCAAAAGGGTGCAATAAAAATATTTACAGAAAAAGATGTAGCTAATATATATATATATATATATATATATATATATATATATACAGAGAGCAATAACACATCAAAGAGATAACAGAAAGAAGTTTAGAGAGATTAAGTACTTGCCAAATGTCCTGGGTTAAGCAGCTTTCAAGTGTCAGAGCAAAAGGGCGCCTTATCTCCCAAAGTTGGTTCCTGGTGTTAAAAGGGAGATTTCTTCAACTTCAACTCAGCTTAGCTTTTTTTTTCTTTTTTTTAACAGCTTTTCTAGGAACTCAGCAGGGTGTCTCCTTGAAACAGAGAACCAATCGCCTCATTTGGGGAGGCAGTTTTAGGCGGACACCCCAGCTAGAACCAAAATCCCTTCCAGCTTATATCATGACCCATAACTTACCCTCGGTGCATTTAGCAGCCTAGCCACTAGTAGATTAATATGCAGAAGCATCTGCTGAACGTCTAGATATGAAATACGACATACCTGCTTGGGGCGGTTAAGGAGATATAATTTTCTGCTCTCATGTAGATTCCAGCTAGGGGGTGTAATATATCAGGCGATTTGTATTAAAGTGACCGATCTGAATATATGCCTGGTCTCCTTGTAAGTCTTTCATATTCCAAGATATGAAATTATATGGAAAAGGGCATTTTTAAATGTGAGTCTGTTTTACGGCTTATCTGGAATGTCTTTGAAGCTTAGCGAAGGACTGGTTTATGGTTTTACTATCCTTTTCCAAGCAAGAGTCTCACAGACAAACGGGGGCCAGGCTAATTGGGGTTTATAACCATGAGCTCTCCCGCTGGGCCTTGATGCCTTTTGAACTCAGCATCCAGGGACCACATGTCACTCAACAGAGAGGGAGGGGGGATTTGGAGGGAAGCTGATTTCGGAGTAGAAATGATACAAGATGGAGGATCCTTAGCAAGATGGGTGACCGCGTCCATCTCTGTATGCACAATTGCTACACCGTCCACTGAGAGAGCCGTGCCGTGGCCGATACTCCCTTCGCACATGCGCAGGAGTAATGACATCATGGCTCGGCCAATCAGATGGCAGCAGCTCACGAACATGGAGGGAAGATCGGATGAAGATGGAAGCCTCAGGCAGCTGTGACAGTGCTCCACAAGAGGGCTTTGTTTTCAGGTAAGTCTTTCATAATGTGCTAGTATGAGATGTATACCAGCACACATGCTCTTAAATTGCAGGGAGAATATTGTTCTTTTCATAGTTTACTGCTAACGCTTTAACTTGCAAGGAGACGATTTTTTTACATTTATTTTAAAATAACTCCTTATTGTAAACAATTTTATATGTATGCTGAAGGTTATAAATAAAGATAAACTGGTAATTAAAGATTTTATATCTAACTTAAAAATGCATGTACACTTACCTGACAGCAAACATAAGTGACTTGGACTAAGAAGAAATAAAAAAATAAGTAGCTGTCCCAACATTTTATGGACCTGCAAAAAAAACCAGAAGAGTTAAATATTTTTTAGGTGGCTACATCATAACATATTCCAATATACTAATTAATATTTACATCATTTAAGAAGACAGTGCAAAGAAAATAGTATTGTAGAGCTTGCAGTGACCCACCTCTCTTAACTAATGGTACAGCTTAACTGAACTAGCTAGAGTAATGACACACTGAATTGTCATAGGAATTAACCGCATGCCGCCCAGCCACTGTACATATACGGTGGCAGGGCGGCACTCACAGGCAAAACCACATTTTAAAACGTATGTTTTGTAAACAAATAGGGGGTGAGCACGAGGCGCGCTGCCGCCCTATTTGTCCTGTGGATCACCGCCGCAGATGTCAGTTGCTGGGTCACAGCCGCTCATTAGCGGCTATGTCCCGGCGATCGGCGGTAAACGGTGACAGAGAGCACAGCTGCAGTAGCTGGGCTGTCTGTCACCTCTCTGTCAGCTCGAGGATGAGCTGATCGAGAAAGAATAGTTTCACTTTCTCGATCAGCCCTGTCCCGCCCAGTACACACCCCCCCTAGTAAAACACTCCCCTCACTCCTATAACCCTTCCCTGCTAAATAAAGTTAACCCCTTCCTCCCCATTGCCATTAGTACAGTGTCAGTTTTTTTTTTTTTTTTTTTTGCACTGAACACTGTATTAGTGTTTTTGGGGATGTCAGTGACCCCAAGTCAGTACCCCCCAATGTCAGAATGTCCGCCGCAGTCCTGCAATCCCGCCATAAGTCGCTGGTCGCTGCCATAAGTCCCTGATCGCCGCCATAATTCGCTGATCGCCGCCATTATTAGTATAAAAAAAAACCTAAAAATCACAGTATCTTTCCCGCCATTTGTAAACGCTATAACTTTCACGTAAACCAATTAATTTACGCGTATTGGTTTTTTTTTTTTAGCAAAGACATGTCACAGAATGCATTTTGGCAGAAATTTATGACTAAATTAGATTTTTGCATTTTTTTTTACTGGACATGTTTTATAGCAAAAAGTCCAAAATATAGTTTTTTTTCCTCAAAATTGTCAGCCTTTTTTTTTAGTAGCGCAAAAAATAAAAACCACACAGGCGATCAAATACCACCGAAAGAAAGCTCAATTTGTGGGGAAAAAAAGGATGTAAATTTCATTTATGTACCATATTGCATGACTGCGCAATTGTCCGTTAAACTAGCGCAGCGCTGTATAGCAGAAAAATGGCGTAAATTGCAGTATTTATACCATAGTTTGTAGACGCTATAACTTCCACACAAAGCAATCAATGTACACTTATTGGGATTTTTTTTACCAAAAACATGCAGCAGAATACATTTTGGCCTAAATTTATAACCAACTTTGAGTTTACTATATATTTTTTATAGCTGAAAATAAAAAATATTGTTTTTCTTCAAACTTTTGGGCGTTTTTTTTTGTTTATAGCGTGAAAAATAAAAAGCGCACAGGTGATCAAATTACACCGAAAGAAAGCTCTATTTGTGTGAAAAAAAGGATGTAAATTTCGTTTGGGTGCAGCATTGCATGACCGCGCAATTATCAGTTTAATTAGTGCAGCGCCAAGTAGCAAAAAGAGGCCTGGTCATTAAGAGGGGTAAATCTTCAGGAGCTCAAGTGGTTAAATAACTTCATACTGATTAATGAAAGTTTGAAAATAAGCACAAAAATATTAGACCTGAGAATTAGGGAGGGTTTCAAAAATTTTTCCTTTTCCCTTTGTCACGTGTGCCTGGACTGTCTAAGACAAGGGGAATTCTAGACCATTTATGCTGCAATCTCCATATGATGCTTTGTCCTTGCTTGCTCTATATTATTATATTACATTCCAGAGATCAATATTTGGCCTAAAAACACTTAGAATGATTAATATAACGTAGGGCATTCCCCTGAGTTAACAAGCCAAGAAAAAAACATTACCCAGTATAAAAGATCTTTTCAATGGGGTGGTGCTGTTTTATGTGCATTGTCCCAACCTGTATTAAACTTAGGAACACAAAGTCTTAAATTATAAGAACAGATCCTCCATTCCAAAGTCATGCTCCCTCTTAGGCTCCAATCACACCAATGCGTTTTTTTAGTGCTTTTTACAGAAAAGCACTACAGTCTATTTAACATGGTTTCCTATGGAACATGCTCACATCTATGCTTTTTTTGAGCTGCTGTGTTTTTGGAAAGGGTCAGGGACTTTTTTAAAAGCAAAAAGCAGCATTTTTGCTACAACAGAGTTCAATGGAGAAGCTGCTGAAATGCGTGATAGGATGTTTTTGCTGCATTTTGCATTTTTAATCTGCCCAACAACAAAGAAATTTCCACTTTAACAAAAAAATCTGTACAATATGTGGTAAAAACACACCAAAAACGCGTAAAAAACACGTGTAGAAAAACGCAAAACAAACTGCAAAAAGCACTGAAGAAAGCATCAAACGCAAAATGCATATATGTAAACCAAGCCTTAGGACTGGTGTCAAACTTAAAGGTAGCTGTCTGTGCTCCAAACACACCACTGAAAACATACCCAGCCACACACAGAGTCAAAAGGACCCTTCCACATGGAATATTCGTGGAACCACATAGAGGTTGATGAAATGCTTTAGAATGGCGTTTCACAAACAGGGACTATCTTTTTGGCTCTGTGGAATAAAGTTTTATAACTTCATCAGTGTGCAGTGTCCTTTAATTAAAAGGTTTCATTTTATGAGGGTGATATTTAAGCACATATAAAACTGGTTGGTAAGGTATATACTAGTGACCAGTTACAGTCAGGTCCATAAATATTGGGACATCAACATAATTCTAACATTTTTGGCTATATACACCACCACAATGGATTTGAAATTAAATGAACAAGATGTGCTTTAACTGCAGACTGCCAGCTTTATTTTGAGGGTATTTACATCCAAATCAGGTGAACGGTGTAGGAATTACAACAGTTTGCATTATTCTGTCCCATTACTTTTGGTCCCTTAACAAGTGGGAGGCACATATGCAAACTGTTGTAATTCCTACACCGTTCACCTGATTTGGATGTAAATACCCTCAAATTAAAGCTGACAGTCTGCAGTTAAAGCACATCTGGTTCGTTTCATTTCAAATCCATTGTGGTGGTGTATACAGCCAAAAATGTTAGAATTGTGTTGATGTCCCAATATTTATGGACCTGACTGTATATTAAACATTATGCAAAATATTTTTTTTATGAAATAGGCTTTGGAAGTGGTCACACTAATGCTATCTCTGTGTCTTCTACTGTGCAGGCAAAGGCTAGAGGCGGAATAGGGCTGCAGCAGAACATCACATGTAATAACAAAGTCCTTGTTGGCTGACATTGCTCCCTGCCAGAGTCGCTATTAACTAGTAAAAAAGCATGTACTTCTGGACAAGATTACACGTAGGAAGCTGTATGTTGCAATGTAAGCTTGTTGTATGCACGAGGCAGCGCTCACACAATTATCTCGATACTATTAATACATTGCAAGCATGACAATAAGCATTGTCACATTAGCAAGGGAAGTGCTATTTACTAAATACAAACTAGAATGGCGAAGCTTTATTTACCTTCATAGCTGTAAGAAAAAATGCACAGAAAAATATGCTAAGCAAGTTTAAAGGCACAAGACCAACTATATCACTGTATGTACTATGGATACATACATGGATATTTAATCGCCGCTGGGTGTTTTATTTTTTGCACTATAAACCAAAAAAGAGCAAAAAAATGTGAAAAAAAAAATTTTCTTTGTTTTTATTATACAATTTTGTAAAAAGGTAATTTTTCTCCTTCACTGGTGTGCGTTAATGAGGCTGCACTGATAGGCAGCACTGATGGACACTGATGAGGTGGCACGGATAGGCAGCACTGATAGGAGGCACTGTTAGGTGGCTTTGATAGGCGGCACTGATGATGCTTCACTGATAGGCAGCACTGATGGGTGGCACTGACTGGCGGCACTGATGGGTGGCACTGATGGGCAGCACTGATGGGGGGGTACTACTGGGCACAGGTGGGTGGCACTGTAGGGCACTGATGGGTACAGGTAAGTGGCACTGATGGGTACAGGGGGGAGGCACTGATGGGCGCAGGTGGGCAGCACTGCTGGGCACTGATCATCAGGGCACTGATCATCTGTGCCCTGATAATGAGTGCCGATCTCTTCTCTGACAATTGCCAGTTATCGGCAGTACTTTCCTCACGCTGTGACAGCTAGCTGTGACAGCGAGAGAAAAGTGCAGCTGATAACCAGCAACTGTATTTACCCGGTGATCTGCTGTGTCATTGGACAAAGCTGATCACGTGGTAAAAGGCCGCTGTGATTGGCCACTTACCACATCACGTGATCAGCTGTGTCCGTTGGACACAGTGATCACCAGCGGCGCCGGGTGCGTGCCGCTGGGGGCACACAGGGTGCATGTTCTGGGAGGACGTCCATGGACACCCTCCCAGAACAAGACAACCGCGCTGTAGCCGTCTTTCATCTACAGCGCAGTTGGGAAGAGGTTAAATACAATCAGTGTAAGTACTTGAATTTAGCCCAGCTATGGGCAAACTACGGCCCGCGGGCCGTATACGGCCCGGCGGACCTTTTTAATCCGGCCCGCGGAGCTAGGCTCCCGCTAGGCTCCTCTCACAGTCCGCCCTGAAGACCGGTGTAGCCTGAAAATCTGTCTCCTATGAGGATCTGTCCCCCTCGACGTATCTGCGCATGTGCCGGAGATCGCCGATCGGCTGCTAATGCCTGAAACTGGCACATGCGCAGATACGTCGAGGGGACAGAACCTCATAGGAGACAGATTTTCGTGCTACACCGGAGCGGCGCGGCAACACGGCGAGAGGAACGCGCGGAGCAAAGGTAAGTGAATTGACACAGGGGACTTAATATGGGGGATGAATTAATATGGGGGATGAATTAATATGGGGAATGAATTACTATAGGGGGGATGAATTACTATATGGGGGATGAATTACTATATGGGGAATGAATTACTATAT